TCTACTAGGTCCCTTCCGACCCTGAATCTATGAATCTATCTATGAATCTATGAATCTATGAAACTTCAGCTAAATGAATGTGCATTTTCACATTAGAATTCAAAATGTAATGAGTACCCCTGACTTCGAAGTTACAGCACAGCAGAATAAGCTTGGAGACTGTCCTGAATTTTGTTGCCCTGAGAAATCAAGTTTCCAAAGCAACCAAGTCAGCGAGTGTGACAGAAGAACATGTAACCAGGTGAAAGCACAAGCAAGAGACCACCAAGCAAACACAACTGGGCTGAGGGAGGTCTTGGAAGCTGGATTTCTGAGAAGCCTTGAAGCAGGAGCTTGAAAAAGAACAAGCAAGCAGGGGATCGCTTTAGATTTACACCACTGAGATGAAGACAGCATCTGGTAGGGTCTGGATGCGTGCCTGCTGCAGTCACCACCACAGCACACCAGAGAGCAGCTAAGGTCTCAAATGAGTCTGAATTACCAGGGTCTGACAACAGTTTTGTTGAGTTTCTGAGCATGGCAGGCCAAAGCCTTGGCCCTACCAAGGCCACTGCATCTCTGGAGAAGCACAAAAAGTGATCTTAAAGCCTTAAAGCTCCTATTACAGAGCAGCTGAGGACTCCCTGGCTTCTGCAGGCCTCTGGGAGGTCTGTCACAGCTGGCTGGGTGAGGCAGGCTGAAGTGGGGACCATGCTCCACTGATGCCCAAGCCATGGCAGGGTCACAGATAGTCCTCCTGGCAGGGCAAGCTAGAGACCCTGTAGCTGATTCAATGGGTGCAGCAGGCTGGGGCAGCCCTCAGCTGAGACCTAAGAGGCAACTTAAAGCCACCTGTCCTTCCCTCATCTCAGCCACAAAGGTAGGAGCAGGAAATGACACAAGGTAGAACAGTCTCTACAGGTTGATGACAGCCTCCACCTGCAGCTTGGTGCTCAGCACAAGTGAGGATTGTGCGCACTACAGCGTAACTGTGTCTGAGCCCAAGAAGATGGTGACAGGAGCTGGACACAGTAGGTCCTGCTTGCATAGCAATGCTAGAAAACAGCTCGCTAGTTCTAGAGGTGCCTCCCAGGCCAACAGATAGCAAGTGAATTGGTGAGACCAGTACAGAGCACTACAGCCACTGCTGGTGGGAAAGGCGTGTTAACTGGGGAGAGGTAGGATGTGCACAATGTCACCTGAAGCTGCTTAAGTAAGCTCCTTGAGAAGGAGAATGCATCTGCTGTAAACATGAAATTGTTCTGATAAGTGCATGGAAAAAGGGGGTCTGGGATCTTGGATACTTTGCACTGGGCTTTGGGGTTCAGCTCCTGCCTGCAAACACCCAGGCTGGTCACAGATGCTGGTGTCCAGGCTTGTTTGTGGACAATCAACCTAACCAAGCCTTATACACTCAGAACTAAAGCATGCGGTCTCTTTCCTGGAATAATGAGCTTGACGGTGGCACGGCACTGCAGACAGAATTCTGACAGCACGCACAAACCACCCACGCCAAGGGAGCCTGATGTGACCTGTAACACCAGACCCCCAAACAGCACCGCTGGGGTCAGAGAACACCACTAACAGAGACCTACATCTGAGCATCTCTACAGGATGAGACATCCCACCAGGATTTAAAGGTTCCAAGGAAGGGAGAAGCCACCAGATCCCAAACAAACAGTCCCACTCATTAATTGCCCCACTGAGGAAAAGGCAGCTTTGCCTGGCTTGAGCTCCCAGCCAATGGACCTTGCTTGCTAGACGGAGGAGCCTTCTACCTGCAGGAATCTCCTGATGCACCCTGCCCATATCACTGCTCAATCTTTGCTTGGACAAACGAACCAGACCAAACTTTGGGAGCCTCTAGTTCCAGGTCTTGAGTCAGAGCTACAGCTCCTTTCCTGAGCCCTCCCTGCCCACAAGAACAGACCCAGACTTGCTGATGCCACACACGGGTATCGACACTGCTCTGCTCCTCCTTGACAGTCCCCCACTCACACCTCCAAGAATGGCCACTGCTGCCTGAGCATCACAGTGGGAACTTGCAGTCCATTGGCTTCTCCAACTACCCCTCAGTTCCTTTCTGGCTCGCTGCTTTTCAGAGTCCAGCCTCCTGCACCAATTTCTTGGTTCTGAGTGGTTCAACCTTGCATTTAGCTCTGTTCAAACACATACACATTTCAAGGGAACTGCAGAACTAACCTGTTCTCATAATTTACCCCTCTGGATGCTTCTGCCCTGCTCCAGGCACAGCCTGCAGACCCGGGCCTCTCCCTGGAAGTTGATAGCAGTGTGAGCCCCCAGCAGGGTTCTTCCAGGGACTCCTCCCCAAGGACACAGCCTGTTGATCAGCTACCATCCCTTCCTACTCACGTTACTAGCTGCTGGGTTTGGGGACCCCTCTGTGCCATCTTGCTGAAGGATCTCTGAGCCCCATTGCTGCTCCAAGGAGCTAGTGGCAGAGAAGGAAAAGGACATCAGTCTGCTGAACTGTACTTTGAGGTAATCTCCTCCTTACACCAGCCTTCCTAGTCCTTTATCTGTGTCTGACAGCACCAGACATGCCATCCCTTGGCCAACCTCTAACCGCGCATTGAAGGAATGTGCGGGAAGGAGAAAATCACCTCCACAGAGCAGCAGGAACAAAACAGGGGTGAGTGATCCTTACTGTGGGTTCCTGTGGGGGCCAGATAGGACACCCAAGCACGGATTTAGACTCTGGTATGCCACATACTGCAATTCCATCCACAGGGCTAGTGTACCAGCATTGTACAGGCGCTCCCTGACCTGCACAGCTCACAACCTCATCAAAAACAGGTCAAAACAGATTAAATAAGTCAGTGCATGGGGCAGAAAGGAAGAGAGCGACAGTGAAAGGAACATGTCATCACAGAGACTCTCCATGCACATGGTTAATAGGTTTTGTAGGCTGCAACAAGTCTGATGTCAACTACCCCTGCAGACCCTTCGCCTTGCCCCTGTGGTTATACAACCTACTGCAGGCCCTGCAGCCAGGGTGAGTCTGAGCAGGATTTGAAGGAGCAACTTTCAAAGCAACAGTGCAAGTCAATGGAGGAAAAAGGTCGCATGCAGAAGGGCAGGAATGGAGGAGAGCTTGCTGCAGGAGGACCTGCCTCCATTGGGGCAGCTGGTGCTGGAAAGTGCTCCTTGCACAGACCTGGCCTGTCCTTTTGCTTTTGGGTTCCTGAGCAGTGCTCACCAGCATACCAACTTGCAGGGCCCAGTACCTCAGGGAGGTAGAAGGGCTTCTGGGAGACAGAGGCCTGACAGCTGCTGCCTGCAGCCCAGCACTGCAGGGCCCCGATGACCCCTGGGAGATGGCCCGTACCTGCTCTCCATGATGGCCTCCTCCACGTGAGTGCTCTTCTCGGATGCCAGCCCCCCTAGAGAGCACTGGCTCATGGCAGACAGGAATTTAAGAAGCAGTTTGGTGCTCTCCGTCTTCCCAGCTCCACTTTCGCCGCTGTTGAGGAAGACACACAAATCCCACTCAGCAACACAGGACAGACAGATCTCGCTACTGTCCTGCCCTGGTAAAAATGGGGAGAAGGTGACCCCAGGACCGCATACATGGCATCTGCCCGACTACAGGCACTGGAGGTCATGGCAGGGTGCAGCAGGCAGTGCTATCCAGGACACACATGAGAGACAGAGGAGAGCTACATGGAAAATGACTGTGTCTTCAGTCTCTGACCTTATTAGGACACACTGGCTGTCATGACGCTTCCACAAGCAGCAATAGCATTCATTAGCCGTGGCGAAGATATGGGGTGGCAGCTCCCCCAGGCAGTGCTGCCTGTACAAGTCTATGGCAGCTGCATTGTACAGACCAGGAATGTGCTTGTAGGGGTTGACTGATGCCAGGATGGAGCCAATATTCGTCTACAGGGAGAAAACAAAACACAGCAAGAACATAACATTCCAGGAAAGCCATAGGCAAGCTAGGACCTGACACCCGTACCTAGCACAAGGCAGTGAGCCTGAGTGGAAGAGCCAGGCCATGGGCAGGAGCCTTCCAGCCTGGGGACAAGGGGGAGACAGATTCCATAACGAATCCCACTCAGCAGCTGAGGGCAATCCTCCCTGCCACCCCTACCTCAGGTCTTTAGCTGGCCTTAAGCACGTGGCTCACAGAGCAGAACTGGGGGAAATGGTTGTGGCGGGTTTCAGATAATTCTTTATTTGACCAAAAACAAACAATGCATCTTGGGGCAACCTGCATTTTAATACAGGTTTAAAAAAAAAAACCAAAAAAAAAAACCAACAAGTGCTGTCACTGAAGGGTGAAAATGATTGTGAAAAGAAACAAAGATTTTAGGGGAAAAAATGCATTTTAACACTGGGACACAAGATTTCCAGTTTAACAACATTCTTCTTTTACAACATCGCCACAAAGAAAAAAAGTGAAAAGGGATTAAAAAAAGACAACCCAAGCCAAAATGTTTCAGCCAACCTGATTTCAGACCTTTAATTTCAGACCTTTCCATTGCGCTGAGAAATATGAGAAGATAACCAGGGCATGACCTCCCCAGCTCTCTGCTCCCTGCACTGCCCATCCCTTGCAGCATGTGCCGAGCAGGGGCTGTACAAAATCCCCTGGCCCCACACAGCTCCCTACACTGCTCACGCCTTGCGGCATGCGCTGAGTGGGGGCTGCATGACCCCCACCCCGTCGGCCCCCTGAACTGCCCACCCCCCTTGCAGCATGCGCTGAGCAGGGGCTGCCCCCGGACTCGCCAGGGTGCCCACACCTTCGCCATGGGTTCGACCAGCTCACACATGCTGGCGCTGCTGCTGCGGGCCCCATGCTTTGCCAGCAGAGTGCAGCACTTCCAAACTCGCCCGCTGCAGCATATGTAAATCCTGTCACCCACGTGCTGCAGCTGGATGCACTATGATGCCTGGACACATGGTGATACCCAGCTGCAGATGGAGGGCAGGAGCAGATAGGGGATGAGATGCTGCAGACTTTCCAAGAGCAGTAAGTACTGGAGCAACCCAGAAATTACTGCTGGAAGCACATCACAACAGGTACTGACTGGCACCCTGTGAGGGAGCAGTCATGTGCATGGGGGTAGCAGGAATGGCAGGAAGACCCAGAGCAGTGGATCAGCCAGCAGTAGCCCAGCTGTCACCAAGAGGGAAGCACAGGTGCACACACAGTGCACTGGCTTGTGCAGTAGGATGTGCTGGGCTATGACTCAGAGATAGAAAAGCCTTATGAGACCATCCAAACCAGTCATCCTGGGCCAGGGCAGGACTGTTCTGTCTGACAGGTTCTGCGCATTCCCTGGGGGGTTCAAACTTCTCTGGCCATGAAGCTCCCTCGCCTCCCCCTGGGAGATGATGCCCAGTCATCCACCTCACTGGATAATCACACTGCATTTTCCCTTCCTCCGTCTCATCCCATTGCATCTAGTTAACATTCCCCCCTTCTAACTGCAGATAATCTCTCCTGCAAAGATTATCATCCTGGCAAAACTGTGTTCATGGCACATTGCAAACAAGGGATGCAAACACTTCCCCAAGTGTCTTACAACTGAGGTCAGACTCGACAGAGTACGCCGAGGGGAAAGTATGCTTTGGTGCCAGGGCATATCACAGGGAGAACAAGCTTTGCTGCCAGGTTGATGGGTCCCCCAGAAGGCAGGGCAGGCCAGGGCAGGTTTGCCCCTCAGACATTTGCACACTGTTATACCCACCTCCTTTCCTTAGTCCAGCTCCATGCACTGGACTCTTAATCTTTACCCTCCTTTCAGTTCTAGCTGCTTCCTTGCCTTATCTCCTGCTTATGCTTCCAGTCTCTCTGTGCTCTCCAGTATTATTTACTGTCCCGATTGTCCTCAATCCCTTCAATGCAGTATCATTTGCATATTTGATTAATGCTCTGTTTACTCATTTCCCAAGTCATTAAGAGGATTTGAAAACAATTCATTGCCAACATCCACCTGTGAGACACACTGTACTACCATGGAAGTCATCAGATGGTCCTACAACAGATGTTCCTTTGAGTTCTGTTTCACTACAGTCAGATCTATATGCAGTCAGACCATGGAGAAGTACTAGCAGTTAGTTATGATGCAGCCAAAATCATCGCTAACAGTTTATACCACAGAAGTGCCCAAAGGCACCAGCAGAGCTGGGTCCCCAGTGGCTAGGCACCGCACACACACAAAAGTCTGGATCCAGCCAGGACGTGTTTGCAGCGTAACACCAGGCAGCTGAGCAGAGCAGCCATAAATGTTGGTGCTCTGCCTGCAATCCAGAGCTCAGTGAAGAGCTGGTGCTGCCAGGAGCCTTGTGCCAAGAGGCAGAGTGTTCAGTGGGGACTAAACCTCCCAACTGCCACACAACTGCTTCGTGGCACTAGCTCTGTGAGGGGGAAGATCTCCAGGACAGCAGCTGTCAGAATCATCCTTTGCCTTCTTGATGACAAATGATGGACATGTGTACTTTCCTCCAGGCTTCCAGTACCTCTTTCACATGCGTATGACTTCTCAGAAGTACAAAAATGTTGTTAGCTGAACTCCCCAGGTGCATTTCTCCTTGTCTCAATAACTTATATGTTTTTTCCTTTGACTTCCCAGCTATTTATTTATCCCCCACTTAATTCATGGCTATTCTTACAGGGCCATTCTTCCTCATTTTCCAGCCTTTGTTCCAGAGTTTAATCTGACTGAAAACGCATTTCAAAAAGGTGCCAAAAACCTCAGCAATTCCCAAATCACCAAAAATGTCACCCTTTGCCTCTTACAATCCCTGGGGACCAGAGTACAGAAGTTACACTAAAGAGCTGGGCAAGGCAGATGAAGCTGAGGAAGAGTCACTGCGGTCAGAGGCAGAAGGGTCCTTTCAGGGGGGAGGCTGCTATTAGTGCTGCTTGTAAGGGGCCTCCCCATTTGAGAGACAAACTGAAAACAGAGTCCCTGCCTCAGAGGCTGAGCAGCAAAGACAGCTGAGCAGCAAAGACAGGGTGATGGGTGAAAGCTGCACAAGAGGGGAAGCAGGCACCCGATTCACAGGCAGGAAGGGGGAGGCAGTCAGGGCCTGCCTTGCCTGGGTGAGGTCTCGCAGGCAGCGGGGCCACATGACTGAGGCACAGAAACTAATCCTGATGCAGAGAAGAGACTTCCCAGAAAACGGGTCACTTAATTGATCATTTACTGGAATACAAGGTGCATACAGTCCTGTTGCCTTAGTAACAGTTGCTATGCAACCCGTTCAGAGATTTACATTTTTCTGTCACAATCAGAAGCTTTGGGCACAGGTGCAGCATGGGGAGCCTCTTTGGCCTCCTCTCCTGAGCCCCTAAAGGACCTTCCTCAAGGCCCCCTCCCTCCAGGCTGATCCCACATGAGCCACCAGGAGCAGGGATCCAGGGATCAGTCTAGCTGCTGACATCGGGGGGCACAGAGGAGCCTGCCTTGCAAAACTGTCCCAAAGCCCCAGAGGGAACACCCAAGGGCAAGGTCTCTTCTCCCAAGGCACCTCAGGCCCTTGTTGCATGGGGGCAGGGTCTAGTGGGGCAAAGGGGTTGATTGGGGAACTGTAGGGGAAACCTGGGACCAGAAAGGGACTTCCCTTCCTATCCCAGGTAAAACCATCCCTCCAGTGCAGGGGAGGCATTGCTAAAACACATGTTCCCATGTGCAAGCAGAGATTGCCAAGCCTCTGGCCCTGGCCCTGGCACTCACATAGATGCTGTCCTGTTGGTATCGCTGATGCAGGTTGAGCAGGATGGCAGCCTCATGCAGGTCTCCCAGTGTGGACATGTCCTCCACACCCGCCACGCTGGTCTGGTGCATCAGCAAGACCTTCTCCCTGGACAGGGAGGGCTTTGGATGGCAGAACACCTGGAGAGGAGGGAAAGGAGCCAATGACAGTGTGAAAGGGGGTGTAGAGGGAGAAGGGAGTCCCCAGCCCCTTACCCACGACACTCGTTACCAGCCCAATGTGAGGCAGGTATCAGCTGTGGTGCCCTGTCCTTCCATTCCTGTGCAGCTGAGCCCTCTGGAGAGAGCCCAAAAACCACACACTGGCTCCAAGACCAGTCTCTCTCTACTTTCAGGGCTCCCTGGGAGAAGCTAGGGAGCTCCTGGGACAGGGGCTTGGAGGGAAAGGCTGTGATCCTGAGTGCCAAGGGGCTGAACAGAGCTGATGTCAGGGGGAGGCACCAGGCACCATGATGAATCCAAACCCAAGCACACGTGCACGTGGGTACCTGCATCCGGCCCAGAGCCTCCCAGATGGCTGCTGGGGCTGCATCCCTGAAGGGTGGGGAAGTGGAGCAAGACCCAAAGGCACACACTCTGCTCCCTCCTGCTCCTGCACTCTGCTGTAGGGCTCGAGATTCTAGGAACCTCTTCCTGTGCGTACCATCACACGGTCCTCAAAGCTGCTGGGCTGGCAAACACCACATCAGCCCCTTTTAACTGCTACTCCAAGACGCACCTTCCCCTCTCCACCCTGCAGCCATAGCTCTTGCCCTGTCTCAGTCGTCTCTCTCCCTCAGCACTGCTTCCCTCCTGCTCCGACCCACTGCAGGCAGCACATCAGCCCCTGCCCGCTCTTGGCTCAGCCATGTGCCAACGCCCTCCCTCTGCTGTCTCCCGGGCTGAGCCAGAGGCAGGTTCCAGCAACAGGGGGACCTTGGTGAGTAGCCTGGGGAAGAGAAGATCACCCCAGGGGCAGCTGGGGAAGAGGGGGCCTTTCCAGGGAGTCACAAGCTTTTCTCCCAGGCATCAGGGTCTCTCCCTCACTCTGGGGCCCATTGCCCCTGCCAAGGTGCCCAGCCACAGCCCTAGAAAGGGACTAGTTCTTCTGAACATGAGCCAAGGTCCCAAGGGCTGCTGCTCTCCATGCAACCCCTCCCAGACCCCTGCCTGGTGCCCCTGTAGGTTCCTCCCCAGCCTTCAGACTGGAGCCACGGCCATAGATACCATCAACGACTGAAGTGCAATGGGAACTGTGGCATCCGCAGGCCTCACTGCCTCTCTTCACACAGGCCCAATTGCATGAAGTGATCCTTCCCCATCCTGTGACAGCATCCCAGCCATCCACAACCCCTTCCCCAGCACCTATTCCCATGACCAGCAGAAGCAGCTCAATGGGAATGTGGCTGCTGCTGGAGGACCCTGGAAGCATGAGGGGGTGCTGCAAAAGCAAGCATCCGGCATGTTGCCTGGCCCTGGGCAGCTGTAAGTCAGGTCCAGAACAGATGCAGCAACTTTGTCCACCAGCTGGTAAGTGGGGCTGCTGCAGGTTAGAACAGCGCAGAAAGGGGCCAGTGGGGAAAGCTCTCCAGTCAATCCACTGTCCAAGAAATCACTGCTGTCACAGCCCAAGAAACTGGGTGCCTCCCATAATCCAGCAGAAAGTCACAGCCCCTGACCCAGGCTGCTTAGGGGCTGACATTCAAACAAGACACAGGTGGTCATAAATGAGGACGAGAAGGAGAGGAAAAAGGAGAGAACTGCATGAGAATCAGAATGATTCAGTTCGAGCATGTGTGTACTCCACAGCTCTTGGTACATAACTTAGTTTCCCCCTATGCTTATATGTGCTGGGCTTCGGGATTAAATTACCAGTAGGCTTCCCTTCCAAGAAGCAGGCTAATAAACTGAAACAGCAGTGGAAAGGAAAACACCCTCAAATCTGAGTGCAGCCAAGGCTGCCAGATGCAATAAGAGTAAGATGGGAAAGCAGCAGAGTGGAGGCAGGACTGGGCCTTGTAAGCAAGGTAGCAGGACCAAACATCAGGAGGGGGGATTTAAAGGAGGAAGAGACCATCTGGTCACCTGGCCTGATCCCCTGAGCATCATGCAGCAATCCTGGCACTGGACAGTTTGCCAGCCCAGTGGAGACAGCCCTCCCAAAAAGGCATCCAGCCTCAAAGATTCCAAGCAACTGAGAATCTACCATGTCCGTGACCTTCCCCAAGGAGCAGGTTTCCTCACCGTTACCCATTTGCACCTTATTCTCATTGGAAAGCATCAGGTCTCCACTCCCAGACCTTGCTCTGCCCCTGTTGGATTGAAGAGCTCTCCGTTATCAGACATTTCCTATGCAGACATGCTCGTAAGTCCAAACCCATCATCTCGGGCACCTCTCCTAGTTGCACCGAGCAGAGTGCTCTCCCTCAGCCTGCTGCAGCCAGGTAGGTTTTGGTTCTGGAGTGCTGCCCTGAACTCCATCCAAACCTCCAGTGTCCTTTCTGAAGCAAGGACACAAGCACTGGACACAGCTCCCAGCAGTGCCTGGGCAAAGGTACCTCCTGGTAAAAGGGACGGCTGGCCAAGCTACACAGCATAACACTAACTCAGGAGCATCTGCCTGTTGCATTCACTTTTGAGCACAATTGATCAATTCCAAAATTTGGAGAATGTTTTAGGCATCAGCAGCAAAGCCATATTGATTTGGAGGGAGGGCAGAAATCAGGGAACTGGCCATGGGGCACACAGAGCCCTGCCAGCTGTCTGCAAAGCAGTAGCTTCACACACCTCTGCAATTATCTACAGACAGAAGAACTGGCTGCTGGCAGCTGTAGACATTTTCAATTATAACCCACACCCCAGTTCAGTCCTGCCCCTCATCCTGATGGCATTTAACATGGGATACCCCAAGTGAGATTCACCCCTCGGTGGAAGAGAAATAACAAATATGGGGGGCAGAGGATGCACAGTGAAGCAAAACGAAAGCCCTAATACTGGGGCACAGGACAAGGGAGCAGACAGGTCTCTGGCATGGGGGGCAGGGAAAAGGAATGGAAAAAGCTTCACAGTTCCATGGAGTTTAAGGCCAGGGACCAAAGACTGCCTATATCCTTCACACTACAGACCACTGAATGCCACCACCAGAGACCTACCAAAGCCCAAAGACCTGAACAGGACTAAAGTGTTTCAGTGCTCAGGAGGACTGCATTGCAGTCACAGCCTGGAGAGGCCAAAGTCCCACCAGCATCTGAGGCCCCTTCCTCAGCAAGGAGCCAAGCAATGACATGCCCAGGAGGCAAACTGTGCCTCAGGCAGATGAGGAAGAGGAAAACCCTGAGGTCCCTGCCAAGCTGATTCCTTCCCAAACCCAAATCCAGCAGCTAGCATGCCCCAGAACATGCGAGCAGCATGTATCAGCCAGACTTCCAAGGAAAGAGGATTCTGTTTCCCCCTACCCCCTCCAGTGCCCAGTGTCTCCTGCTATGACCAATCTCTGCTATTTCACAGGAAGAATAAAAATGAAATGCGTCTTCCTGACTATGCCCTGGCCGTGGGACAGGGAGGAATTCCTTCCAGATCCCTCCAAGTGACCAGTAAAAGCCCGCAAGCATGAAACTGGATTACCAGCACCATCTTCATGCAGAGCTCCCAGTGCGACATGCAGGTTGCAGACCATGCAGACAGCTCCTAGTCACCAACTTCCTCTGTGAACACAGGGTGAACAAAGATTTCATAGATTTCATAGACATTCGGGCTGAAAGGGACCCCGGAGGATCATTGAGTCCAGCCCCCCGCCCCAGGGGCAGGAAGTCAGCACGGATCATAGGATCCCAGCAAGATAAGCATCCAAATGTGTTTTAAAGGTGTTCAAAGTGGGAGCTTGAACCACCTCAGGTGGCAGGCTGTTCCAAACCTTGGAGGCTCGGACAGTGAAGGTCTTTCCTACGTCCAGCCTGAAACGGTCACAGTGGAGTTTGTGACCATTTGATCTTGTCATCCCTTGGGGGGCTCTGGTGAACAGTCATTCCCCCAGATCCTGATGAGCACCCCTGATAAAACTTATAGGTGGCTATCAGATCACCCCTGAGCCTGCGCTTTTCCAGGCTAATGAGCCCCATGGCTCTCAGCCTGTCCTCGTAAGGTCTGTTTTCCTGACCTCTGATCATGCACGTGGCTCTTCTCTGGACTCTCTCAAGCTTCTCCACATCCCTTTTGAACTGTGGAGCCCAAAACTGGACGCAGTACTCCAGCTGCGGCCTCACCAAGGCTGAGCACAACAGGAGAATGACTCTCCGGGATCTGCTTGAGAAGCATCTATAGATGCAAGCCAGCATTTTGCTCGCTTTACTGGCCGCAGCATCACACTGAAGGCTCATGTTCATCTTGTGGTCAACCATGACCCCCAAGTCCCTTTCATCTGTACAGCTAACCAGCATAGCACTACCGAGCCTATGTGCATGCTGCAGGTTTTTCCTCCCAAGGTGGAGAACCTTACATTTATTGGTGTTGAACACCATCAGGTTCTCATCCACCCATTTCATGAG